ACATCGGAGAAAGGCTTGGCTGTCAGCTTGGACAGGTCTTAACTGGCCCGAGCGTACAGGTAATGGCAGCCTAGACATTAATATATGGCAGAGGGAGAGGCGGTTGTTCCTTTGCCTCCGTGTTTGCCAGCCACCCCTCTTTTAATAAAAAGCATCACAGGTTGGGGCTGTTTTAGCCCGTACGCAACACTCGCTCTTCCCTTAGTTCATCACATGCCGGTAACTTGTTACGGTCTCAAGGAGGTTAAAACACGCTCAACCCGAAGCTTAATAAAAATCAGAATGATCACGTTTGCAACAACTTAAAGGTGTCGTGAAAAACAAAATCCGTTTTGAATAGGAAGGAAAAAGGAAACGCAATTATATTTTTTTAATGTCTAGCTGTTTATCAGGCTCCCTGGATGCAGCGGAATATTAACTTCACGTCTGGTTTACATTTCAGAAGTCACCACAGTGACAGTAGCCAACGTTGGTGCCTCCGCAGACAATGTTTTCACTACATCTGTGGCAAATGCAGCTTCAATTTCAGGACACGTGTTGGTAAGTCTGTCCTTTCATTTGAGGGCCTTAGCAGAGTCCCACATACCTTCCTAGTGTAAAGGAAAAGCTCGGTTTGTGTTCGAGCTGTAGTAAGGTCAAAGATAGGTTTTCATTGCAGTATACAGGCTTTAAGCCACAGAACCATTAGCTGGGGGACATACAGTTTTTTCTTTATCGCTCAGAGAGTTTTTTTTTTACCTTTCCGCCCCCATATACTCATTCTGTAATGGAACTGATGACCTGGAACATGTAACCTTTGAATTTGGTTGGCCGAACCCTCAAAAACCAACCTAGTAACTGCCATACTGATCGGTGTTTTAGGGTACCTTTGAGCAGATTTGGGGGAATGCTAAAATACATTGGTATTTTAACTCTGTCAATTTAAACTCTTTATTTCTTCTGTAGTCCGGGAGAACGGCCCTCCAAATTGGGGACAGCTTGAATACTGAAAAAGCCACTCTCATAGTGGTTCACACGGACGGCAGCATTGTAGAAACCACGGGGTTGAAGGGGCCATCAGCACCTCTCACACCAGGTATAAGGCAATCTGGTTTTGAAGTGTCATTCTCCTGGAGGAGTTGCTTTTTCTCCGCTTTAATTGTGTTGCTAGGATTAAAAAAATATGATGTGCATAATATTATGCAGTTGCCTTATAAGGATCATTTGTCCCCTCTTCACATGGTACTACTTTTATTTCTTGGAAGTAGAAGAATACTTACTTTTTGGGTTTTTTTTTCCATCAGAAATGTATTTCATTTTCTTATTCTTTGCCCTAACCCTTGCAAATAAGATGCTTTAAAAATCTTGCCGTGCTGCTGGGCTGTCGCATGCCTTTGTACGCCCATCCCACCCCCAAAGGCAGATGGATCATTCTGATATCGATAATAAAAATATGAGTCTCCCAGTTCGGCACGTGGGTTCTTTTTAAAGGGTCCTTGAATATAGTTTTCTCTCCATTCAGGCCGCTTGCTGGTATTTAAGCGTCGCATATAGCTGATGTCTTTGTTGCTAAGGTTTTTGCTCACGGCAGCTGCTTGGCAGTTTCCTTTCCGCCCATGAGATGGCACAGCAAACCTTCAGCTGTCTGAAACACGTTACGGGATCGGCCTCTGGGAAGGGGAAGATGCAGCCAATTGCTTACGCGGCTCCAGGTTACAACCTCAGCGTTTAATGCGCTGTGAGAGCATCTTTCCTAAGATGCAGTTTGGTTTATTTTCAGTCATTTTCAGCACGTTCGAGCTGAATTTTTTGTGGTGCACTATGTAACTCGCGTTGCTGTGGAGAGGTGTCAGCTGCTTCAGTGAACCACTTGATGCTGTTGCCCCAGCCAAGCTGAGAGTGTGAAGGTATAGCCGGCGTGCTTTTTAGTTGCTGTCACCTTTCTTTTCTTTTTTTCAAAGGACCGCAATCTCCTCCTACCCCTTTAACATCCGTCCAAGAAAAAACTGGAACCAAGTATAACTGGGACCCGTCTGTGTATGAGAACGAGCTCCCGGTGAGGTGCCGGAATATCAGTGGCATTCTGTATAAAAACAGACTCGGCTCAGGTAACTTGGGTGAGGAAGTGTGACGGCTCCTTCTTCACTCCATGCACTCTTTTTTAATCAGGCTACTTTTAAGGGCCGATTGTGAAGACAAAAAAGACAGTTTCCTAGTCAGCCAGCTCCCTTTCGATACTATCGTTCTCTTTTGGTTTGCTCTTTCTTCGGAGGCTTTTTAACGTTTTTCTTAAGTCTGAAGATACAGGCTGCTGTGCAGTGAGCCTCCCCGGTAATAGGTTGACTCCTCTACTGCTCTTTTTGTCTCAGAAGTAGACCCGTGTTTCTACAAAGCTCTACAGAATCCCTGCTGGAACGGAAAATAGAGAGCTTGTCTCCTAATGGGACTCCTTAGCTGCCTTAGCCCCTCCTCTTCTCTTTTATCTCTGTGGGAAAGCTGAAGAAGCAGCAGCAGAAATTGTCAGCAAGCCTGACTGCACAGCGCAGTGCTTGCTTCATGGATAGCGAGTTTTTGTCACGACCAGAAGGATTAGAAATTTAAGTGCAAATTAAGGAAGGGCTTAAATTCGCGGTGTTTATCCAAGAAAGACTTATCCTTCTTGCAGATGAGTAATATTTTCTAGCCTTTTGATGCATTGGTGAGGCCCAGAGTTGGAGCTCTGTAAACATGCACAGTCATTGTCACAGCCAAGATAATAAATGGGCATGGTTATCCTGGAGTGATGAGAAGTAGCAGATGGGCATATTTGGTGATTGCCACGGATTAACTGCTATTTAGTCCAGCAATTTCAGTATTTACTTCTTCAGGAAAGCGGCAAAATTATTTTTAACCTTTACTAACAGTTTCTTTCTTCTGTTTTCTTTCAGGAGGCCGTGGTAGGTGCATTAAGCAAGGGGACAACTGGTACAGCCCTACGGAATTTGAAGCTATGGCGGGACGAGCCAGCAGCAAAGACTGGAAGAGGAGCATCCGCTATGCCGGGAGGCCGCTGCAGTGCCTTATTCACGTAAGGTTAAGTTTGCTTCCTCCTTTCTGCTGGAAGGGGCAGGTGGGGTCAGGGCGGACTCTGCCCAGCGCTGCAGCCCAAGCCGTGTGCACTGCCTCTGCAGAGTTATGTGTGACGGTGCCATGGCGCAACTCGGAAGCAACGTTTTGATTTGGTTGAGAACCAGTGACGTGAGAGGAATCTTTCTAGATGTGTTTTCAGATAGCACAATACAAATCTTGCTTGTACTTGAGAAGGGGGTTACAGTTTATGCAGGATGAAGTCCAGCCTTGAGCTGTATTGCGGAAATTGAGAAGTGAGCTCTCCACCCATGATACTATCGTTCAGTAACCTGATCTGCTTAATTCTGTTTGCCTGACAAACATATTCTTCACTTGCACTATTTAGTGAGTATTGCTTTGGGTTCTTTATTTCCTCCAGTGTCCAGGAGCCTCATGGAGAATCTGGCATTGCCATTAGGTTGACAGTTGATTTCTGCTTGGGCAGTTATAAAGTCTGAAATTCACATATTCTCGCCTTTTGATTTGAAAATTATTTGTTCTTCCTTCACTCTCCGCCTATCCGCTCACCCCATCGCTATGATATAGGGGAGCTGGCCTCTCTCTTGCTGTGTAGGGTCCCTGGGAGGCAACGGGTACGTCTCTCTGGGAGCTGTCTGAATCTTTCAGCAGAACACAGTCGTGCTCTCGGTGGTTTTGGCAACTCTAATGCTGAACTAGTAATCATCTAATTTCAGGATGGGATTTTAAATCCACACGCTGCCTCTTGTACTTGTGCTGCTTGCTGCGACGACATGACTCTGGTGAGTTGTAGGTTTTAACATCCGTTAGTTTAAAAACAATGATCAGCCAAGCTGCCACAGCCATTTGGGAGCAGGCCATGAGCGTCCTAGAAATGTTCACAAGTACTCTGGTTGCAGCGTGCTTTGTCCATGCTTCATAAAGAGAGGAGATAAGGAACTGCTAGCGCTCTTGCGTAGCAGCCTCAGTAAAACTGGATAATAGTTATTGCTTTTTTCTTCTTTTTTTTCTTTTCTAAATAACGTATTTATGTGAGATGCCTGTTGGGGTGTCAAAACTATTTGTGATTTTTGACTCAAACTGCACAATTTTTTTAGTTGGACAAAATGTTTTTATAAGGAAGCAACGTAATACTCTATGTTGGATCTATATTTTCATGTTAAAATGCTTGGGGTTTTTGGTTGGTTTGGGGTTTGGTTTGTTGTTTGTTTGTTTGTTTCAAAAATTACATTAAAGTCCTGAAAGCAGAAGTCTTTAGCTTGACTTGAAGTAGTGTTTTGCATTTCTTTTCTGTTATGAACTAGATGATTTGCTTGTTTCCTAGACCTGAAACTAACTGCTTCCTGTCTTCTCCCCACTCTTGTTCTCTTTTCTTGCACCACCTTGGCCAGCAATCAAATTATTTGCCCAGTTCTGCTCCTTAAATAATAGCGGGAAGAGGCTGGATCTGTGCCTCTTCAGCTGGAGGGACCTGAGCGTAACTTTTTTCACAGAGTTATTTTGGTTTGAAGAAGTAGGAGGTTTTTGGTCAACTGTTGCAAACCACGCATCTTCCATGGGAAATAACGTGCTGCTTGACCTTAGGTGCATCTGGAAAGATGAGAAGTAAACCCAAAGTCCTCAAAGAGGTGCCTCAGCTAATGCCTTTTCCTTTTTTTTTTTTTTTTTTGTGTGTGTTTTGCCTAGAGTGGCCCCGTACGACTCTTTGTACCATATAAAAGGCGGAAAAAAGAAAATGAAATGCCTGCAACTGCAGTGAAGAAGGATTGCTCCAAAAACATCACTCTGCTTCCTGCCACAGCTGCTACTACATGTAGGTTCTCTGGTAAAAATTGCTTCCCTTCTTTGATGAAGAATTGCCACACTAGATATTTATGTCTGTCAGTGGCCCCTTGGAACTAGCCAGCTGAGAAAAATGTCTTACTTTTTGCCATTTCCTTTTCATTGGGTAGTTTAATTGGCTCAGTGCCTTTAGCTAATTCCACTTCCTATTTTGTAGAAGCCAGCACAGTGTTGCCACATCAGGACTGCAAGTCGTGGAGGAAAAAGTGCAACTCTAGACCTCCAGAGGACTTGGTTTTAAGCATCGTAACATCCTTTTGCAGGGAGCAGGTTTCCTATTCTGTTCTGAGAGAGGTCTGGACTGTATTTCCACCCTCTACCTGCTGTCTCAGCCTGGCAGTGCAGCAGGAGTTGTGGAGTCCTGGCCTTGCTTTTGGGTAGGATTTTCCACAAATGACAATTGAGAAATTTCCTCCTGTGAAAATTAGGTAGAGGGGAAGGCTGGCCCTTCTCTGCTCCGCCGGAAATCCCCATTCCATCCCCTGAGCTTGGTTTTTGTCCTTTAGAAGCTGGTGGGGGCTATGGAGTAAGATTTGTGCTATTTCTTCAACTAGGTAGAAAAGTAGGCTGTAAGCAGCTGGAATGAAATGCACAGCCTGCAAGTCGTTAATGAAAGAGGCAGAAGGTGACGCTTTAATCTGCAAATGCCTCTCTAACATTCAGGACACGCTTTGTTACTTACTGTTTTTGATTGTCAAACCATCTGTGTGAGAACAGAAATTAATTTGCAAGCTCATCCAGCTCACGCGTTCCCAGTCACATTCATGTGTCCTCCTGCTCTCATCACACTAGCATCATCTGGATGGTAACATTACAAAGTGAATTGAGGAGGAAACAACAGAAATCCAGAGAAAACCGGCCAAAACTAATTTTAGTAGATTAGCAGCAGGAAGAGAAATACGGAAGGATCTATAGAGTTTTGGGGTTTTTTTATCCCCCAGAGAGGTTTAATCGGTATTGGTTCATTAATGTGAGGTGCTGTGAGGTTGCAGGTTTGCTCATGCTGGCACTGGGAGAGAGGAGGACTGCTTGTTTTGGTAGTAGCCACGTATTTCACTGGGCGTGAATCCGTAGCCTCCATGTCTTAAAATTGAATTACTGTTTGTGAAAAGATACTTCTGGCTGAGCGGTGTGCCACAGAATCGGCCCATTGCCAAGTAATGGTGCCAGATTAATTAATCCTGTTTAAAAAGGGTTTTAAACATTTTGAAGCCACTCGGGTATATTCATCCAAAAGGATTTTGTGACTTGTTCCTTGCATTGGCCAAGCATATTATTTCACTCTGTGTAGATAGACAGCTAAAATTGTCCAGCTCACCAAACTGTCATAGAATTAGTTGTAACCCACAGGTATTTTATGTCGCTTTAAGTAGTAAGGTCCACTCTTGCTAAAGTTGTAATAAATCAGGATCAGCCAGAAGCTGGTGGGTTTTGTGGCCCCAGATCTTTCCAGTAGGTGTTAAGTTTTTGCTCGTATGATAACTGAAAAGGTGGTGATTTGGGAGGCACTACGTTGTAAGTGAAAATTCTGGCCTCGTACAGCCAGGGAATAAACGGAGGCCTGGAGGAGGCCAGCAGTGCCTTCAGAAGCCAAACGGGGCTTTATTCCCAGTGCCAGTTGTATTGGTCATAGGTGTGACCCAGCCTGGGGTTAGCACAGGCCGTTTACTGCTCTGTGAGTTCTCTGACTTTGGATGACTCAGAACAGGGATATCAACAGCTAAACAACTGAGGCCTCCGCGCTGAGTGTTAATTATGAAAGTACTTCTAATATTTCCAGTCACCGTGACTCCTTCTGGACAGATCACTACCTCCGGTGCTCTGACATTTGACCGTGCATCGACAGTGGAAGCCACAGCAATTATCTCGGAAAGCCCGTCCCAGGGTGACGTATTCACTGGAGCCGCTGGTAAGAGTTCAGGTATACGCCTGCTAGACCTCCGTGAGGAGGAGGAAAAAAGGTTTGGATGCCCACTGCTATAGGTAGAAGCATTTTGAATGCTGCACGAAGGATTTATTTCTCAAGAGCTTACAGAGAGACTATACGTAACCCACTGCCTTCCCCTGAAATTATTTCAGCAGCTTGAAATCTTACCAGTTGCACAGAAGAAGTTAAAAGTTTTGTCCAGATGTTGCAGCTGCTAACGTACACCTCTGCCGATTTCTAGGGGTTTACAGTCATCTCTGTCATTTTTTTCACTCCTCCTTTGTCCTAAAATACTACCAAAAAAAAAGAAAACTAGCTGAGTGTTGAAACAAAGTGAAAAATGCTGAATAAATGCTGAAAAATGCTAGAACAAATCAAACAAGATATAAATGCATGCCATGTATTTCAGTTCTTTCAGTTTGATTCATACACAGGGTTGTGAGCTCTGCTGAGGGAACTGTCCTGCTCTGAGAACCATAGTTTGGAGTCCTGTGATAATTGTAAATGTAGGTGTGCGGGAGGGAAGCCAGCGCTAACCTTTGCCTTTAAAAATGAGAGCAGAGAGAGGGGAAATCAGTACAAGGTTGCCTTGCTTGCTAACTGGGTAAAATCATGCTGCTGTTTCTCATTTGCAACCCCTGGAATTATTGCGGAGTGTAGGAACTTGTATGAAATGTAAAAAAAAAAAAAATAAGGGGGGGGCAAAAGCGTAAGAAATGCCTGGAAGCTGTGTTACACAGCGATTCACAATGCCGCCGTTCTTCTGCAGTTCAAGATACCAACGTCCAGCAGCCTTGCCGAGTCAATCACCCCGAACCTCACTACCCAAGTTACCAGGACAACTGTCAGATTTCAGCTTTTCCTGAGGCTGCGCTGCCGACATCTCATCCCAAGATTGGTATGTGTTATGTCCGTCATGTGAGACACAGTTAGCGGTGCTTGAATACACTCTCTAATCTTTCTCAGCAAAGGTAAAGACTGAGGCAGAAAAATAAACTTTGCTGTGGTTTGCTTACGAGTTTTGCGGTTATTAAGAGTTGGACAAGCAGATTTTCCATTCTGTGGGAAGTTTTTCACTCGCTTATTGCGAATTTTGATTTGTTGGTTTCTACCAGAGGAGGCCGTTCTGATCCTGCTTCCTACATCACCTTGCAGTCCCCTGCCCTTCCTAAGGCTTTTGCTTCAGGGCTTTTGTCACCACTTGGGCACTGTGGCTAAACATTTATTTAGGTTTTGATGTGAGGAGGCCATCCCTTTAAAATTATGTCACAGAAGCTTTTCTAAAAATTCCCACATCTCTTTCGGAATCCACTGATGCCTGCTGAAGGCAGTTTTGGGCAGGTTTGGTGTGCTGCTCTCACGTCCAATGTCAGTTTTCCATCCCCTAAAGCTGACGTTCGTGCTGGTTAACAAGTGCAGCGAGAGCCCGCCCTGCTGCGGTCACACAGACTCTGGAGTGAAAAAAAAAGAAGAGATGGTATGAAAAATGACGAATGCAAATCAGCCCTTTAGTGTTTGATAGAATGGGTTAAACTGATGATCAAACATCTCTTCAAATGTAATTATATCATGTAAACTTAATGACCTTTCATTTGTAGAGCTAACTGATAAATTGAGTGAACTACAGTGCTCGTACTGATAGACACTGGAAGTGTTGAAGAAACTGGAATTGGCAGAGTTGGAGTGCTGTTCTTGCTTTATGTTCTTATTGAGCCTGCACAAGAGATACAGCAGGGAATAGCCTGCCGCTGGCTGGCTGATGGATTAGGCGATTTATAGGCCTTTTACTTCTCTAATTTCTATGAGTCTGTGAAGTTACTCTGATACTTACGGATCTCGCTGACACAGAGGAGCTGTAAGGCAGGTTTTGATCCCTGTTATGTTCTCTCAGACGTCAAGAAAAGATCATGTAAACATGTTGTATTCCTTTGTGCAGTCTGAAGTCTGCCTTTTTTAAAGCCTGCATTCTCCCCTCTGTATGACCTTTTATTTACTTATTCGGAACAGCACAGTGTGTTCCTGCTCTGTCCAGAATGAAATCTTGTTGTTGGTTTTAAGTCTTAGTCAGATCTTGATGTTACTAATTAAGCATTGATTTTTTTTTTTCCCCCACCAGTGAATACTTTCTCTTGACTGATAGACCTAATGCCAGAATGAGGAATCAGAAGTAATTCCTGTTAGATAAGTTATCAAATGCCATGCTGGAATAAATATTGTGCTGGAAATGTAGCAGTGGGAAAGGCTCTTCTGCAAACAGCTACTGATAAAAGACGGGTTTTTCTCTTGCTCATATCTAAGTGCAAATAGTTCTATGCCAGTCATGTGCAAATTGATTGAAATTACTATTTTAATTAAGGACTGTTGAGTGTAAAACGTCCATTTACCTGTATGGTGAACTTGCAAGGCTGTCGGTCAGAAAAGGCCACATGTCTAACACACAGCGACCGGCAGTACCGTGGTTTTTGAGACCTGACTTGAAAAGGGTTAAAGTGTTAATACACTTCAATTAGTTGCTGTCTTGGAAGATACTCAGTGTTCATTGCAGTTTTGCAAGAAGTCTTGTTTGTCTGCAGATGCTTTTCTAAGGAGAGGTTCACTGTGAGTGGGAGTGCTGGAATTGCAGCCTGGTACAGGAAGGTGTGCTGGCCTGTTGCTGCTCGGGACAGTATTTACAGCTGAATTTTTTCAGGACAGTATTTACAGTTGAATTTTAAGTACAATTTGAAGTGTAGTCAAGATTTTTTTTCCTGAATGGGGTCTACTGTTCTGTGGTTTTAACTAGGTTGTGCAGTTTGCTATTCTGTGTCCTTGCCCTTCAGGGAGCGAGGTTTGAGGCTTGTTTCTGCCCTTCCTTTTGGAGCCACTGAAAGGGAGGAATAGTATCTGCAAATTGTTGTGTCACCACCTTAGACAGACCTGTGTGCCAGTATCTGTCATGGCATCCAAAACAGATCGCGATCAGAGACTGATACTAAAGTAAAAGAGAATAAAGTGCCTTTCAGACACTTCAGCCTCTATGTGTGGTTCAAGAGCTTCCCGCTTAGTAAATTTCTTAACTCTGGTTTCAAAGCAAAGAGTGTGGCTCCAGTATCGACCCATTTTAGTGAAAACGATGGTCAGCACCCAGCAGTGGCACCTGTGCTGCCTGCAGCTGCCTTGTAACGCTGCAGGTGCTCAAGGACCTTGCCAGTGCGGGGGCTGGGAGAGAAGCTGCCTGGCAGAGGCACTAGAGGAGTTAAGAGGAATGCCTCTAAAAGAAAAGCAGACGCTGGTGGGATGCAAACAGGATTTAAATGGCTCAGTGCTTCTGAAGTTATATTCCCGGCTGTGTTCAGCCTTTCTCTGAGGGCCGTAGCATCCATCAGTTGGAATGGTCCTGCGTTTTTTACATGAATGTGTCATTCACTATTTAAAAATCAAGGAAGCTAACTGGCTTTTGGTGCCTGGAATACTACTGGAATACTCTTCCCTTGACAATGCAGAACAACCCGGGAAGGAATGTGGTTTCTCAGCTTGCAGTACTTACTGCTTTTTCTGTGTGCTGAATCCTTCTGACTCCTACCTAAAGATGTGAGGAAAAAGCCTGGAACAGCCTATCAGTAGATTTGGGGGTAATAAGACTGCACAGCCCCAAAGTTGGTGGTGCCCGCTTTTTTTCTAGTAAACAATTTAGTGAGGAATTTAGAGGTCAGCTGTTGGTAGATGTGAATGTCTTGGATTTAATTTTATGGCAGATGGCAAGTATTTATCGCTAGAGTTAGATTTAAATTTTGGAAAAGTAAGGCCGGTAAAGCCAGATAACATTTGTTCCTGGAACTGCTGCCTGAGGTGAGCTTATGCTGCGTATTGTTGGGTTCCTGGATCTAGGTTTAATTTCCTCACACTGTCGTCTCCCAGCATATATGCAAACCTAGTGCTGTGAAAAGTAGATGTTTTAGTGACACAAGAACTGCTGGGGTTTTCTGAAACATTTGCAAAGGTAAGGCTAAGACAGACATTGCTGGTTTTTTAGGGCTTTAATTTTCTAACACAAGCTTTGGGAAAGGGAGGACTGCGGAGCCCTGATAGTTGAGGGGGTTGGAGGCGGGTTCAAGGAAAGTGTGGTTAGGTTACGGGGATAGGAGTTTAGCTTCGTTCTGGTGGCTTCCTACAAACTGCAGTTACTGTTAAGATGATGGTTAGGATATGAAAAAGTAAAGGCTGCAACACCTCAATAACTTTGGTTTGGGGTTTGGTTTGGGTTTTTTTTCCTTCTTCTTTTAACGTCCCTTGGAGTATGTTTAAAAGTATTGCTGGGCTTCTGTGCGTTTGTATTTAATTTCATACCTGTGGCATTCTAGTTTATACAAGAGCGAAGACTTGTCATTGGGATTCTGCAGGAAAGGGCCGTAGACAAGAAATTGCTTTCTTGGGAACTGTCCAACACAGTCAATATAAAGCCAGTGCCAGGAGATGCAGTGTCTGAAGCTAAGGCTTCCATCTGGCTGCATACATTCACTCTCACCTTTGGGATTAGGCAAGGAGAGGTTTCAGAGCTGCAGTGAGCATTGCTGTTCAGAATACCCAGGATATTTGAAACAGATACATATAGCTGTGAGTACCATTTATTAAAATTTTTGATGTTTCAGTGTGGTATGCGTATTTTTATGCCTACAGTTTCTTTTATGGGTAGGATGCAGGATGAAGGGGTCCAAAGAAATTACAACTGTTGACGGGGTTTTTTTTAAAGGGCTTCCCAGGCGGTGGTTTTGGAAAGTGCATGTCTGTAATACACATAATTTCGAGGTGATGATAACTGTCTTGTTTTTATTCCAGTCTTGGGCCAGGGTTATGGTTAAGATCAGAATTCAGGAAGCGTAGGGGAGCGTGGTGTGGATCGGTGCCTATTTTTTGTAGTGTTGCAACCTGAGAATTGCCATCTGTATATTTCATCGCGATATTTCAGCAAACTTGACGACTTAGAACCTTACTTAGCGATAGTTAAGGGAAACATGAGGTGGAACATTGTGACAGTGGTGGCAGAGGAGTCCCTGGGAATGCTGCTTTCACTGCTTGACGGTGCTTCTCTGCAGCAGTGCTGGAAGGTGTTAATTGCGTCCCAGAGTGAACAGTAGGATTGGCAGTGCCTGTTCTTCAGGCCTCTGGGCTTGAGAGCGCCCCAAGGGCTTGTTCCGCACAGAGCCATTCTGTGCACTTTGGGTCACAGAAAGCAGGTCTGTTCAGCAAAAACTTAGCTGGATTGGAAATTTTTGCAGACCGTATTTTTTAAAAAAGCAACCAAACAGCACAACACACCCCCCCTCGCACACTTTATGGAAATGAAATGCCCTAATTCTATATCTTTTCTTTTTCTTTCTTTATATCCAGTGTTAACCTCACTCCCTGCCTTGGCAGTGCCCCCCACGACCCCCACCAAAGCCATATCCCCTTCGGTGGTGAACGGGCTGGAAGTGACGGAGCAGCGGAGCTGGCTGTACTTGGAAGAGATGGTCAACTCGCTGCTCAACACGGCCCAGCAGCTGAAGACTCTCATTGAACAGGCCAAACAGGCCAGCTCCTCCTTCCGCGAGGCCGCGGTCACGCAAGCAAAAATTCAAGCTGATGTGGAGAGGAAAGAGGTAATTATGCCAGAGGAGGTGAGAAGACTCAGCCACGGGCGTCTTTTTGGCTGAGTGATGAACAGAGTAGTACCTCACTGGTTGTCACTGGCTGTGACAGTGGTAGCCCTTAGAAATTGTTTCTCAAAGTCTTGAGAGCAGTATTGCCAAGAGAAATCTGAGTTATTCGTATCATGGGGAAAAGAATAGAGTGCTCTGCGATTCCAGGAGCTGTGGGTAGCAGGCTAGTAATACAAACTGGTTGGTGTTACGAGTCCTGAGCTGTCCCATCAGCCATCCTTAAATTTATGAGACGTGGGCACCGAATCCTGGTATAGCAAAGATGGTGAGTGTTCAGCCATGCGGTGGCTGCTTTTTTTATGTCAAGTGAGCGGGGCTATCAAAGAGGCTTTCGATGGCCCAAAGAGGCAGAGGGATAAAAAGAACAGCAAGCTGTAGAGTTCATGGGGAAGATAAGCAGTAAAATTTAGAGGTGTCTCACTGAGCATCGTGCAAGCAAAGCTGATCTCGCATGAGTCCTGTGGTAAGACTGCAAGGCCGGCTGGCATTACAGGAGTATTGGCTTGTACCCAGTGGCCCTTCTCTCCTCTGTAAGGGATTATCTACAAGGACTGCCCTGTTCTCCCTGCTTTTCTTCTCTTTAATTGATGCATGGTAGGGACCCTGGATTCTTCTTAACACCAGCTCATGCATGCACCCTGAATCTGGCTCCATGCACTGCTGAATGCGCTCCCCTTCTCCCCCAGATCCACAGCTGCCGGTGTGGACTTGAGGGAGAGAGGTGGGGGGCAATGTACTGTGAAACTGGTGTCGTTGTCGGTAGCTGATGAACTCCCTTCCTGTACACCACACTATCTGCTGTTGCCATCGGCGTTATTGCTAACGTCAGCTTTCCACTGAATTCATAGGCACGAGTGTGCAGCAAGAGACCTTGAAGAAATGTGTGTGGGAAGACTTTGCTGAGAACTGAGAACCCCTATGACAGTCCTTGCAGCGTCTTTGATATTCTTTGCCACGTTGTCTCTGCTAAACTCTTCTGTACGCTGCATCCTTGATGTGCAGGTGTGTGATACGTTGAGAGTCTAATTCTTCCCTGCCTTCCGCCTGGGCAGAATGGGTATTCGTGCTGCTCTCCAGGTTTGGGCCGTCTGCTGCTAAAAAGCTGTGTAGAGCGTGGGATACCGAAAAATTGGAAGCTTTGACACAGTTTAGAGATGAACATCTGACTTTGTTTAACTTCGCTCTCTGCTCTTTTTCCAGTTTATGTGCTGTCTTCCCTTCTGTTTATCCTTACCGTGGTTTCTGGAACAGTTGTTCAGAGCCCATTCCCCTCACCCTCTGATCCAAATCCGACTCACTTCAGTGTACTTCTAGTTTCTTCTTGCCCCGGGAATGGGAGTTCAAATCACTCCTGTGTATTGATTAAAGTGCTGACTTTACAAGGCAAGGGTGAGCACGTGTTTGTTTCCAGAGGAAGTCCCTTTCCCAGTAACTATTGAATGCCCAATTATACAACTTGTGTGTCTTACCATTCTTATTGTGTAATGGGTACCTCAACAGTTTTGTATTTTGATAAAAACACTTGCTCATGGTGGTATTTTTTTAATACCCAAATAACAATTCTCAAGCTTGCGGCTGTGTGCTAGCTTCTGGAACCATCTGGATGATATTGCAAGTAGCTATTTCTGAATTCCTTCTAGTGAATTCCATATTTGGAAAAAACTCTGGGTTTCTGGGTACAGGGCTGGCATTGGAAGTAAGTACAATAAATGTCAAATAATTGGCTCTCTGCTTTTGTGTTGGTCAAAGGTGCTTTTCTGATTTCATGAATGTTTCCCTGATTTGTAACGCAAGTCTCTCTCCCACCCTGAGTATGTGTGTGGTCAAATGGCTTTTTTTGACAGTTAAGGTCTATGGGAGGGAGAAAGAGGTGTCTTCCTACCTTGGCAGTTGTTGATTTTTGCTGGGCCAATTTAATACAAAGGAAATAGGTGCTTTGTCACCACTTTGTGTTTGTTACACTGACAGAACTTCCAAGGGCTAACAAACCGGGGGGGAATCTTCTCGCCACCCCCTCCGTTTGCATGAGCGGAGACGGTGATCACAGCGGTGTGGGTGCTTCCCTGTAGGAGAGCCACCGGTTTGCGGAATTTCTGTGCAGCAGTATGTTCCTAGGTATTTAGAAGTGAAAGATCGTGACGCTGTATCAGAGCTACAGAGCAAAGGCACAACAGATTAACTTGTAACAGAGCTGTAGACTCAGCTCTTCCTGGAAGAGTGACTTAATACATAGCAGGATTAAAGAAACCTGTTAGGAGCAGGCTGCTTCCCAACTGGATAGACAAACTTCATTGCCATGACTGTAAATAATACGGATCTTCAGTTTTTGCAGCGGTGCAGAGCTATTCCCCCAGGTCAGTGTCCCGGCTCTTGAGGACATTGAGTTCAAGCACTTTTGATCTTGTAACTGTCTGTATCCCTGACCATATCGCTCTGTCATCCCTGCGAAAGAGGGAGATGGCCTCTGCCTTCCGACGGAAGAGCAAGACGGAGCGCTTGGGATGGGACTGTCTTTACCTGCCCTCCAGAGGAAGCCTGAAGTGGCCCCAAGTTTAAGCAGAGTAGAGAAGAAGTGGCAAGAACAGCAAACACGTAGGAAAACTTACTTGTGTGCTAGTTTTGTTTCAGTCTTCCTAGAGAGCAATAAATTAAGCATTAAGAATTTTTAATCACAGCTTATATGCTTTGTTGTATATTGCAAATCGTTTACTATGTTGTGTTTCACTTACTATACTGATTATTTCATGAGCTTTGGAGTTCATTAAATATCACAAATGAGCCAGTCTGCTCCCGTATAGCAGCAGTTCGGTTGACTTGGCTTTACATACCAGAAGTTGTACTCTATGCTGAGCAGTGGTAAGCTCTGAACTGTGAAAGGCAGGCTTTTGCTCCGAGTTTTCTTTGAGCAGGGAAAGCGTTTGTGCTGCCTGTACACTTATGTTCTTATCTGTGAAGTCAAAGAGCGGACATCACTGTTTCATTCTGGTCACGCTTGCCAATGATATTATCCAGGACTATTGAAAGGAGTCTTAGGAATACATTATTCCCCTCATTTATATCGTTTTGAAGGTGGAAATGCCAACATCAGAGAGGAACTATGGCAGGAAGGGGATCTGCTAAATGTAGCAAGGGAAAACCATAAAAAATTGTAAGTGCAGCATAAATTAGAAGCATCTACAGTCACATTTCTTCTTAAAGACAGCGTGTCTAATCAGAATTTAGCAGGAGGATTGGATCCCTAATTGCAGTTCCAAACACGTGGCAATACCTGGATACAGAGTCCTCAAAAGCAACAGGGGGGCCGAATTGGGAAGTGCTGAGCGTTTAGGCGTCAGGCTGTACAGTAGTGGAATACAAATACCTGTCTTCATAGGCAATTATAGAAAGTCTGGAAAAACACACTTGCCTTCCACTCTTCTCTCATGTCTGACATGAGGTTTTTTTCACTCTGCCTCCCTACTATATGATTACAGCCATATATCGCCTTGTCTCAGGGTCTGGTGACGTCCTTAGCTGTTCTGAGGAAACTATAGGTCAGATTCCGAGTGCTGGAGCTCAAAGCTTCACCAACAGTTTCTCTTGCACATAATTTTGTAGTTTGGAAGTCCTCACATGCACTCTGTTGCTGTCTTTGTCCTTTTCCATTTCTGTAAATTTGTTTAAGGATAGTGGTTTGCTGGGCAGATTTCAAGACTGTGGATCTCTTCCAAATTTGGTTTCCATCTTTGCCACAAGTTATTTAGATGCCCCTGGGTAAGTCCTTGGCCGCTCTGGGCCTCAGAACCTGCTCTTTAAAAGAAGATAACACTTCCTTCGCAGGGGGCTTGCATACCAGTTTGCAAAGTGGTAGGAGCGCTGGGTAAAAGGCTGTGCAAAAAACCCTCAACCTCCTAAATCCTAGCAATAAGGACAATTTGTAAACCCAAAATCTACAATTCCCGCATTTATGAAAATATGTCTTGTGCAATAATTTCTTTTGAAACAAAATCGTTCTAGAGTCTGAGAAAGTGGTTCCAAATACCTTTCCTGTTGTGAATGCTGTCTGCAGTATCTCGTGTGCCTGTTGATGACGAGAACTCCTTAATCAATACGCAGAGCCCTCAGAGAGTTAGTTCCAGACATGAAGCTGTTTAAGAAACACTGATGGCCGTAAGCCTTGTGCTCTCTGTGTGCAAACAGGAGGCGCCTGCGCAGCGGGTGCTCAGGCTGTGTACGGCTTTATGTTGGCAGACCCCAAATACAAGTTGCATTTATGTTGCCCAGAAGTCTTGGGGAATGACATTCTGAGAGAAAAGCAAACCGTGAACTCCCCAGCTCAGTGTTCCTATGAACCTCTAAAATGCGTCACGCTATTGCAAAATACAAAAATACCAAAATATTTGTAAGCGTTTTCTGAATTGCAGCGTTTTGTGTGGAATTCATTAAATACAACTGCTCTGTCAGAACTTCATGCAGCTGTTAAGAGAAAGTTCTCCACTGTCATTATTAATTAGCGTGTGACTGAGTGCGTCTGATCCTTTGGTTGCTATCTGAATGTTGGGTTTACTGCAGTTTTTGATTTAGGGAAAAACATTTAGGAAGAGAGAGAGTGGGACAACAAAGGCTCAGCGTCTCTTATGAGAGCTACGTGACAACTTGCAGGACTGGCCCAAAAGGAATGGATTCATGACAGTACTTCACACGCAGGTCTGTGTGCTTTGGCAGTGTCGTTTTTTTGAGTGTGCATTAAGCCACCGTTTGTCTCAGATAAACTTTAGGAGGGGGAGAATACAGGAACTCACCAAATTCTGTGCCAGAAGACACTGCTGCAAGATAATAAAGATATTCAGGAAATGTGTTAAACAGTTTTTCTGTATAAATTTGAAAAAAATTGTGTCGAAATCTGACAAGTGTTTTAATTGAAATAGCCCTCTCGTAATGCAGTGATGCCTTTGGAGCCCAGCCCATTTGAAAACAAAGTGGAAGATTAAATCAGCTAACAGCTGGACCATCTGAATTCTTTTTTAGAAAGATTAAAACAATTCAGGGCTAGAGAGTATGAAATTAACCTAAAAAGGGTCGGGCATTTAAGAAATATAGCCCTAGCAAGCAAATAATGGTTTGTGTACTCCAAAGCAGCAGTGAAAACAGTTGAGAATTGGGGGTCACTGGTTTTCTGGAGCCAGTTTTGTGAGAGATCTGGATGTGTCTGGCTTGATCCTCTCTCTTACCACACCTTTTCCTACTCCGTAGTTTCTGGACGGCTTGAATTCTTTGCACCATGGGCTGTGCAGAAGCAGAGGACTCGCTATGTGGTAGATAAAAAGGAGATGGAAGGGGTTAAACATGGGGTTTCGTCAGCAGGTTTCGGGGGCTGAGAGCAGAGGTGGAGGAGCCGCTGTGGCTCAGGCAAGGACGGAGGTGGCTGCACTTCCTCTTGGTGTCCTTCTGATGGGCAATCTCCCTGGAGAACAGCCTTAGCCACACTTGTGGAGGATGAAGCGCAGTCTGGAGGCGGGAAGGGTTTTTCATTCCGGAGCTGTGGCACTTCCGCAGAACTGGAATTCAGCGTGGTCAGCCCTGGCGCTGTCTCCGCATGGGCTGGTGCAGCGGGGACGGTGCTAGCTGGGATTATGTGCACAAAAGTTTTCAAGCTGGGTTGAAATGCCAGCTCACCGCATGCTTTGGCATCCATATTTCCACTTTCATCACTAAAAAAGAAGCATTAGAAGCATTGCGCGGTTTTCCTAGGCTGGTACTCTTAACGTGGGTCATTTGTCTTTCACTTAACAGTGGAAAACTCGTTTTAACCTTTCCTGAAGAATCCAGAGTTTCCTGCCAGCCCAGTTCTCTGCCTGCGTGCAGGGTGGCAGAGGGCAGAGGCTGCGGCACGAAGCGTTGAGTCCCGGCTTCCCCACGCCTGGTGCTCACTGCCATTAATGATTCTCTCAAGAATCAAGGTCCGTTTCTTCCTGAGACATAGCAGGATTGATTCTTAGGGCAGAGGACGCATCTCAAGCTTGCCGGTGTATTCCCTGTCGTCACAAGAACGCTTCTAGCTTGGACACAATTTTGGTTTTCAAAATAGTAATTTTGAAATTTCCATACACGTGATGCACGCTTCACCTGTGCCGTACTGGAAGCATCGGGGATGCTGTGCGTGCGTCCTCTCTTGGTAATTAGCCTGGTCTTGCCTGTTTGTCAAATAATGGCAGAACCCAATCACACCCCTTGCAGCGTACAGCGAGAGGTTTCCCTGCCACCTCCTCCATCTCCCTGGAGTTTTAAAATTTGAATTTATGTCATGGTAATAGAAAGGTTTTGAAGGTTGCGATTTCACAGGAGAATAAATACTGTGATGTCAGGTCATAGGGACACTTGTAAATTAAGCCTTTAATCTCCTTATGTGTTGGGTCATAGTCACTCCTGGATAAACCTGCTTTGCCTGGAGGTGGGGGTTCAGGTTTTTTCTTACTTTTTAACTGTTCCCAATAAATTTAAATCAAGGTTAGCACATAATCAAATCGGGATCGGTTTAGAATTCCTTTGTTTTAGGACGCCTGTCTCTCAGCAGCGCGGGCTGCTGAGCATGGCAAGGCCATAGGTGGAGCAGCACCTGGTTGGACTTGAACTGGTTTGGAGTAAATCTGCAGCACACCTGAAGCGTGCTTTAAAAGCCACCTCCGGAGGAGTGCTTAATTCAAAAACTGTTTGCAAGCCCTTTTATGGTTTTATTAAAAGGAGGTATAATGGTGATGGTTGATGCTGTTTCTAAAGTCTTGAGTGCGTTGATTTTGTCTGGGTTTTTTTCCCTAATCCATTCTGTTGGGCTATGCCATCCCTTCGGGCTCTTTTGCTTGTTAGTGGATTGGGATCGCTGGACTTGGCCCAAAATTTGGCCCAAGAAGATGGCACTTGGCCCTATTACCTTGGCATTTTCCTCCCGTTTCTTTTGCTAACTTCTTAGATTCTGTTGTGCGTGGGGCGCGGTTCCCTTGCAGCAATGAAGCCACCTGTTTTAAGCAGCAGTGGGTGGCTGGATGTGGTGGGGAGCGTGGGGTTTGAGTAAATGCTGTACGTAACCGGCAGTTTGTCCCCTCAGGCCCTTCTCTCCCAGGCTGCTTCATCTGTCTCCACGTACGGCCATGGCTTCCCTCTCTTAGAAGGGAGGAGCGAGGTTCCCCTCGTCCTCCTGCAGCTGCAGCTCTGGGCTTGCCAGAAGCCAGCTCAGTGTCAGGAGCCTCCGCTCAGAGCACCCTTTTCAACCCCTCACGTCGCGCTCTGGCTGCGAAATGACAAGTCTGGTGTATTTTTTCCTTGCAGCAATATCAGAACCAGTTATTTCAACAAACAGAAGATGTGGAGGGGAAAACAGAAATCATCATCAAGGTAAGCTGGGGATGTCTCATATTTTATGAAGAGTCTTTTCTTCTTTGTCTTGTTCCATTTAAAGATGCAGAGGTTTTTATCAGTGCTACAGAAGTCATGTATTCTGTACCTGCCCTTGCCTTCTGGCAGAGATCTGAGCTTTCCCTAGCAGGGCTAATGCTGTTTGAGCAGAGCGTGTCCCCTTTCCCAAGCCTTCCAGGTTTTCACAATCTTTTATCGTCGTCTGGGCAGGTTTATCAATCTCACTCACCTCTGAGTCATGGTATTGCAGCTCTAATGGATGGCTGTCGCGGAGGCATGATGGGAAGGAAACTCTCTTCCTTTTCGTCCTGTGAGCTGGTTTTCAAAACTGTGTGATTCCCTCTGGCTTTTGGAATGGGAGTACGAGTCCAGTGAGTTCAGGACCCGTGATTTAAGCCCTTATAGCTGTATATGTTATTCAGCAGTCTTTTAAGGTCTCCAGGTACAAGTGCACACAGGGTCTATTTTCAGCATTTTCTGATACTGTACAGGTTACGAACAGCCTCAGCCAAGTATCCCTTTGGCACAGGCTTTGCAAGTCCCAAAGAGCAGCTTTAAGCCCCCTTTTTGGTGGCCTGAATCCCCGGCTGTACATCAGGAACACAAATCTAGTTCAGTCACACCAACTATTAATTGTAGGCCCGTTGGTAAGATGTGAGCAGATGTCGTGATGAACTCGGCGTTAATCAGGGCGCCGATTGCTAGCTTGGTTGTGCTCAAAAGAGAGAAGGAGCTGGTGGAACTGAAGACGCCTGTGATACTTTCACAGCCGAGAAACGCTTCCTGTCACGGCCTCGCACTGCTGCTCTGACGTGCTAATGATTTGTCACTAATTTAATGAGTTGGAAACGCAATGCTCTGTGAAGTGCTTATTTTTGTGGTAGTTCAATGATATTTCCACCTAAATATACAGGTTATGTTAATTGATGTCACTGATGTAAGAGTAAAGCGATAGACACAAAAACATCCTTTAAAAACCAGGTGTGATTTTTCAGCCATGTATCCTATCTCACCTTCTAGGTTTAAGTCCTTGCTCTTGTTACTTAATTTTGCTCCTCTGTCTTCCGTTCCCCTGTTGGGACACTGCTCATGTAGTCGTGCTGCTGACTGGCAAAGGAACAAGCCTGCTCAGCCCACAGGAGCAGATCCCTTTTTCCTCTCAAAAAATAGGGAAAGATTCAACTGAAGGGTCCCATCCTTATGCCTACTCTTGTTGTCCTTCCTCAGACCCTCTCTCAGACGTACATGGGATTATAAACCAAACAAAACCACCAACCAAATCCACCTTTAAAACTTTAAATTCGAGATAAACGCAGAGCTTGGGTATCGGTGGCCTGTGCATAGCCTGTACACCACCGTTCGTCAC